GTTCACACCGCAGGCTTCCAATTTATTGCTCAGATCCAGATGTATTTTAGAGTTTAATGTGGCCAATATCAGATTCCAGTGTGTGCTGGTCACGAGTTGAGCAGTGACAAGGGGGGATATCCTCTACATGGTAAGGGGTCCCTATTAGGTTTAAGTAGGACCATGATAAACCCATGATAAACTGCTATTGCTACTTATCACTTGAGTTTTGTGTGCACTGACATATAATAAGGTATATACGAGTGTCTGTGCATATATTAGCGGTGTGTGTGTCTAAAAGGGACATTTCCACTGTTTGTGCTTTCCACGGATTTGTCTAGTTTTGCCAGAAGGTTTTTACTTTGTTGCCCATAACAAATTTGTTTGCAGTGCCAACAAAGATCTGAGGCAGATACACCCATGCAATCAAACAGGGGTGAAATATTTTATTTGCACAAATTTTTTATTCATTATTTTGTTCTTCACTGATTTAGATGATTTGTAAAGTGTTTTCCAGACGTGGTCCCATTCTTTATAATGCTTAAAGAAATCACAGGTTTAGTGTGTAATATTTCTGAGGATCTAGTGACAGAAATGGAATAAAAGATCCATTACTCTGTTTTCAGTGGTGTGTAAAGACCTTACATAATAAACCATTATGTTTTTATTACCTTAGAATGAGCCTTTTATAACTACATAACCACGGGCACCCTCCCCCTGTACATGGACGTCGCCACGTTGCACTGTCATGTTTCTACAGTAGCTGAAAACAGACAAACAGCGATACAGAGCGCGTTTCGTCACTACGTTCATCTTGTTCTACTTCTGGTAGAATTCAGGCAGTGCAGACACTCATCACTATGTTGAATACGCGCGTTTAAAGAAAAAGAAGTAGTAATAATATACAGCAGGGGTCTGCAAATAAGTTTTGCATCAGATCAATATTTTCAACCATTAGATGGTGGATGAGAATATCAGGCATAATATTAGAAGCCATTACTATGGTGTTCGGGCCAGATATTATTGCTGGCGGGTCAGTTTTGGTGAGGATAATAATAATAATAATCACAGAGAGAATTAACATGTTTCCCTTGTCAATGTTTGTCTAAACTTCATCTGTTATGTGGTTTATAATGGACTGTGGTGCAGAAACAGTGACAATGTTTCAATGTTTTTACAGTATATGGTGAATAGATGGAGAGAAGGCCTATGTCATAGGTTGGTGGTCGCTTTAAATGATGGTCACTTTAAACCAGGTTATCTTTAAAACAAAGCGAGATTGTGCACAGTTTTTCTCTTGATTTGATCTGTTTGATTATGATGTTTTGTGTCTTTCTATGCCTGTGATTTTGCCTCTCCTGTTGTTTTATACAGCCTTGAGACTCAGAGTCAACAGAACCTACCTACACACTAAGTAATGGTCATTGTGTGATGTGAAGCAGAATTGGCCTTTAGCCTCCACATTCTCCCCCACAGCAGCATGTTGCCTCTGCAATGTAGTTATAGTCTTCATGGAAGAGCTGTAACATGACCAGATCAGATTAAAGCTCGAGACACACACACACATAAACACCTCAAATGGTGATGCAGAAACTCTTAGCAAGGAAAGGGTATTCACAAGTCCTTAAAATATCAGAAAATATAACATATAAAGCCTTAATTAATATATTGGAGACAGTGTGTATCTAGGAGCCGCTCATATGAACATATTTGTTGTTAAGTGGCACGTAAAAGTGATTTAGGAGGACTCACTCAGTTTTCTCGTATTGGAATTTTATTTATTGGTCCAGTACTGTCATGTACAAACAGTCTGCCTTTCTCTACAGGGGGAAAAACACAGACCTAATGATGATGATGATGATGATGATGATGAATTACTCTGAATTAATCTGAAGAATAAATGTTACCAAAATCAACCATCTAATTAAATTACATTTTCAAAATAAACTGCAAAATTAATATTCTGTTCAGCATAGGGCTAGACCATTTGACCTAAAATCACATTAACTGAACATTTGACTTCGATTACCACGATTTATGAACGATTATTTTGTTTTTGGGTTTTGTTTTTTTGCCCTCATAGTTCACTGACAAGGTTTGTTCTATAAACGTGCTCAACTATTAAAGGTGGGTATTTTTTTTGATTCACAGATGTCAAAAATCAATTGTCTACGTGAATGTTAATTGATATATTAATGTTGACGTGCACATAACAGAGACATGTTCCACATATATGCGGCGACTCACCGCTGCTGAATGAATGAGCACTGTTACTAAAACATCATTAATATCAGTGCAGTACTAATGATCTTTACTCACACTCTCAACGCTTGGCTAGCTTCCTCTCCTCATTCTTCAAAAGACATCTAAGTTAGGTCTTTTAAGTACTATTCTCCTCCCAACAGTGTGACATCACCAACTGTATAATATTCTCACATCCATCTCACGTCATCTGCTATAGCAGCGGTTCCCAAACTTTTTAGGCAACCCTTCTACTAATGTTTTTAATTTAAAATTAAATTTATAAAGAAAAGTTTTATTTCAGGGTTTTTTTTTTTTCATGACAAATTCCACAAAAAATTGTAGTTATCACACTACTACACCACCATTCCATTTTTCCTGTCGCGCACCCATCACACTTTGGGAATCGCTTTTTTTAAAGTAATTTTTTCGTATCTAACTTCATGTTACGCTGTTCTTCTTATTTCTGTCACAGTGAGGCACTGCTCTGGGTCCACTAATACTGACACTGCTAAAATTGTTCTGCTTTCATTTACTGATTTCCGACAACAGGACTTGAAGTATTTTTGTAGTCTTGGAGCTGAATATGTTATATAGCGGTTTGTTTGCATCAATTATGCTAATGATCAGATCTCACTAAACTTTGGCAAAGTTTCTGCCATACTCAACCCCTTGTGACCTTAGGTTACAATATGTTCCACCTTAGTGAAAATATTTGTCATGTTTTCTCTCATTTCCAGTTTGCTTTATCTTATAACCATAACACTGCAGCATTTATTTGGTCAAACATTTTTTTGTTTCCTGCACTCAGCTCGGGACTTACAGAGTGAGCTGTATGTTATTGTCAGTATAGGTATAGATGGAGTATAGTTTTAGTGAAGCCTAGTGTCTTGGTTGTTTACTAACTAGGCTACCATTAGAATGGATGAAGACCGTTTGTCAGCCTTGAGTCAACTCCCGCCAGCTTGTATAGATCATCTGCTTATTTAAAGCTAGCCCTACCTCAATCACTGCCTTCCAACAGAACTGTAACAAATGACAGCAGGGGAAATTGCAGTCATTTGTCTCTGTCTACACACGGTTTCTGCCTTTTAAACCAGGACACCTGTACAGTCTTCATCCTTTCTCTTCCTCCTCATTTAGCCCTTTCTCTGTACCCAGAAAAATTCCACCATATCTGCGGCCAGTAAGCTGACAATTTCGACCAATTACAGTTAAAATTGGGTTTACATACAACGATGATCATCAGCGTAGGAGTCGTGAATGTGTCGCTACTGTACAAGTGCTGTCATTTGATAGACGACCTGTCATGCGTAAAGCAGGTCACCTCCGCATCACAACAGGTGTGTTGTGGGATATATGACTTGGACTGTGTGAGGTGGCTGTTATTAAGGCGGGTGGGGGTTTAATTGTAGCTCTCTCTTCTGCCACAGAATTGCTACCCTCTCTCTCATCAGAGTGTTGGAGGCAGATGTCAGTGTTGCACTTCAAGCATTTGTCTACTTGTCAGTTTATTGTCATTCCTATTGTTTTGTAGAGACGGCATATCATTTTAGGGCCCTATGAAATCAGCGTTAAATTTTTTCCCAGATTCCTTTAGATTTTTTTTCCCGTATATTTTCCTTGTTAATTTTTCTGAATTCTGTGTTTTACAATTTAAGCACATTTTGTCATCGGAGAGTGTGTGGTGAATAATATTTCAACAATTCAATAATACTAAAATATATCCAAAATCAATGAATTTGATGTAAGTATGCATATAGAAATGTTTAAATGTATGTGCAATTATTTATGGCGACAATTCACAATAAAAGTATTGTTGCAATAAATGCATTGTGAATTGTCCTCTAGTAAATATGTTATTACTTGACTGGCGGTGTAAAACAGAACAGTCAATAAAATTGGTTCTGGAATTACTGCAGCCACGAGAGGCAACAAAAAATATTAGACTGATGGGTCCAGTAGTATGCGAGATTAGCTGCGGAGACACGCACGCACGCACACACACGCACACACACGCACACACGCACACACATACCTGAATGATCACCTACAGGCTTTTAAATCTTTATTCTTTTATATTAATGATTTTAGTGAGCCATGGTGTAAGGTTAATGAGAACAAGTAATGTATTTATTTAGTTGATGGAGAGAAATATAAATGACTCAAATCTTTTCTTTTAATGTGATATCCATAGTGTTATTCATAAACATTAAGACATGGAAGCTTGAAAAATTAAGTTAAAGGGTTAGTTAGAGATTGTAATCCAATACACTTTTTGTTAAATTCAGAGAATATTTCCCCACTGTTTGCTGGCTTTTTATTTTGTGTGTGCTCTGAAATAAAACATTGGAAAGTGCTGGACTCCAGGCACTGTGAAGAAGGAGAGATGGCAGAGAAACAGCCAAAGAGGAAAAAGTCTGAAGAGTATAAACAGAGAAGAAAGTTATATGACCAGGCAAGAGCGAAGGAGTATCTACGCTGGAGAAACTTCTAAGATTTGAAATCTTGGGGATGGAGCTTCTGAAGGAACACTGAAGGGAGCGCTGTATTTGTTTGGCAGTTCAAATATCAGCAATCCTTCTGCAGAATCACTTAATCTCCCTTTTAAGAGTAAAATATTTGCTGCTTTGTACTGAAAAGGGAGGTTAAATATCTTTAATGAATGAATTGTGTTCTTGTACACTACAGTGCTACCACTATATTAAGTATAAGTTAAAACCTCTAAATCAATGCTTGTCTTCATTGTTCGGTTTTCTCTTGTTGCATGTATGCATCAGACGGAGGTTATCAAGGGGCCATGTGGCAGTGTGGGGATGACGTTCAGACACATCCCTGCCAGCGACGGTGATGCAGTGCACGTCAGCATTGAGACGGTCACACCCAACTCCCCTGCAGCCTTGGCAGACCTGCAGAAGGGTGATCGCCTGATTGCCATCGGAGGTTAAGATGTGTTACTTAACCCGTTCTTAATTAGCAAAACATTTTTGAATGTTTTCATTCAGATCTTTGCACTACTGACGAGATCCCATTTCCTGTTCTTGTTTCTGTTGACAGGTATTAAAGTGACATCTTCGGTTCAAGTGCCCAAACTGTTGAAGCAGGCTGGAGACAGGGTGGTGGTACTTTATGAGAGACCAGTTCGTCACCAGACTACCTCTTTTGGAAGCCTGGGAACGCTTCAAGAAGGGTTTGGGCCGCTAGAGGAAACTGGTTTTATTTCGCAGCCAGGGGGTTATGAGGAAGACCCAGCCCCCATCACCACCCTTTCTGACATATCCGACAGCAAAGACATGGACTCTGAATTTGAAGAGTTGATTGTGGACTCCAGACCTAGCCAGACTGGTGGCCCTAACATAAGTGCCACAAATACCAGTGACACTAAGGATGATTCCTTTCTTACAGTAAACCAAAGCCCCAAAAGGACTGTGGCCAACTTGGCCTCTAAGCCCCTTGGTTCCATATCACCTATCCTCAACCGCAAGTTAAACTTAGTGGGTCTCCAGTCACCACTAAAGCCCCAGCCCAAAGAATCACCAAAGCCCTCACCACATAAGACCAGTAGTGATCCAGGGGAGGGTCTGCAACGCCCCACTGCCCCCCCGCCGCCGCCTCCTTCTCGCCCCCCAGTGCCACCAAGACCTCAGATAAGGTTGACTTCAACCTCCTCAGAAACCAGCGTTTTGGAAGGCATTGATTCTGTTACAACCACTAATGCCCCTGTTGCTCCTACCACAAATACCATCATCAGCGCTTCTGAAAAATCTCCAGAAAAAGCTCCTCTCACTGGAGCCAATGAAGACAAGGCTTGCACTGAGAAGACATGTGTCAAACAGGTTGAGGCGAAGCAGTCTACCAAGCCAGCAGAGTCCAGTGATGACCTGGCAGTCCCTTCTACTGTGTCCAGCAGCAGCAAAGCCGATCAAGCAAAGGACAAAGCTTTAGAGAGCTCCTGCAGCACACGGGACAGTCTGGAGGACCACTCCTTCTGGGAATCCCCAGAGACTATGTTTCGTAACCAGACAGCACACTGGGCCAAGGCCTCTGTGGTCTTTGAAGTGGAAAGTAATCAGAAGTACCTTAATGTGGCCCTGTGGTGCAAAGATCCCTTTAAGCTTGGCAGTTTGTTGTGCCTGGGTCATGTCAGCCTCCAGCTGGAGCATGTAGCCCTGGAATGTATGGCCACATCTTCAGCAGAGTTCCAGAGCACCTTTAGATTGGGGCCTCCAGAGCCTAGAGCAAACGTCAGCCGCACCGCGCTACGCAGCCTCAGCACCCACAAGGGCTTCAATGAGAAGTTGTGTTACGGAGATGTCACTCTGAACTTCTGTTACTTAGCTGAGGGTGAGTTAGAGTATCCTGGGGGGCTGGCAGAAAGAGAGCGACAGGGGAGTCTCCATGACGAGGATCTAAGGGAGAGAGAGAGGGAGCATATCCCCTCAGCACCGCGTGATGATCTGGCCTACAGCACCATGCAATTAGTTGAAGTTCGTCACAACTTCCAGGACACCCAGTTCCAGAACCCCACCTGGTGTGAATATTGCAAGAAGAAGGTTTGGACCAAGGCGGCGTCTCAGTGTATGATCTGTTCCTACGTTTGCCACAAGAAGTGTCAGGACAAGTGCCTTGCTGAGAATCCCTTCTGTGTGGCAGCAACTGAACGTCGTGGAGCTGACCCTGAAGCCAAATCCACTATAAACCGGGCTACTACTGGCCTAACGCGCCATATAATCAACACCAGCTCCCGCCTGCTTAACCTCCGCCAGGTGCCCAAGACTCGGCTGGTTGAACAGGTGGCTGATGTGGGGCCTGGAGTGGTGGAACCCTCACCGAAGCATACCCCAAACACTTCAGACAATGAAAGCAGTGATACTGAGACCTATACCAGTGGTGCCAGCCCCTCAAAGCAACCTGGCAGCAGCTGTGGCAGCAGTAAACTTGTACGCAAGGAAGGTGGGTTGGATGACAGTGTGTTCATTGCTGTGAAGGAGATAGGTCGTGACTTGTACCGGGGGCTGCCCACAGATGAGCGCTCCCAGAAGCTGGAGTTGATGCTGGATAAGCTTCAACAGGAAATTGACCAGGAGCTGGAGCACAATAACGCCCTCCTAATGGAGGAGAGGGAGGCCACAGATGCCCGACGCAAAGCCCTAATTAGTACTGCCTTGGCCAAGTCTGGGGAGAGACTTCAAGCGCTCACCCTGCTAATGATCCATTACCGGGCAGGCATTGAAGACCTGGAGTCTGTGGAGAGCACCTCTCCTTCAGAGCAGCAAGGCTTTAAGGGCAAAGGAGAAGGGCTGGAGGAAGAGGCCCTGATGGTGACAGAGGTCTATGACAGTGATACATGCAGCCCTGTGGAGGTGCAGCTGCTGGATGACATTACTGAGGAGCAGATCTGTGTGGAGGCACTCCACTAAATAAGACTACAAAAGAGAGAGATGAGGAACAAGTGCTTTGGGCTGGGCCTCCCAGCAAAAAGTTTGTTTTTTAAGATTGCAGAAGTTCATTTGAAATATCGGGGATGTTGGGTCCAGTGTTTGATTCACATGTTTTTTATTTTTATGTGAAAAAGAAAGGATGGGTAAAGGAATTTCCTCCCTTAGAGTTGAACCTATAAGTGATGTTTTGTTTTGCACAATGTAATGTCGTTTCCATCTTGGTTTAAAGGGAAGCTTGTGAGCTACGCTATTATCTGCCCTCAGTAGTGCTGCATGTTTATCTTCCAGTTATGTTTTTCTGTGGCTCCAACATGTTATTGTAAGCATTTAATTCAGTTTGCTTATTGTCTGTAACTGCGTTGACATAAGGACTTTATAAAATGTGCACATTTCTGTGGTCTACTGTTCTGAATCATCTTAACTTTGGAGAGGAAATAATTGCTCAACATTTGTTTGCTGTGAGTAACAATATGAAGGTGAACAGTGTGAATACTGCATCCCTGTAAAGACCCTGCAAACGGTCATATATATCTTTTGTTTTGAGCCTCTTTTTTTTTCTGTAACATATTTGGATTTTGGCTCCAGTCAGAGCTCTTGGGATTTCAATTGGGATTTCAATGTCTGTACAATTATTGGTGGTATCTAATAATCTGCCCCTTTCTTTTGATGTATTTATTTGTAATGGTTAGGCCAAACATGTTTGACTATGGGGCCATGTAAGGAGAATATAATTGTTCTGGGTTATAATTTTTATAATTTCATTGTCTTTCCCAGTCACGTTTTGTTCTGAACATTCCACCAATTTCTAAAACTCAACTATAGCACATTGCAAACTGATCAAAACTTTCATGGGTGCAACATGAGAAAAGCATATAATTGACTTTTTTTGATTGATCTCTGAATGAATGTTGACCAGGGGCTCTCAAGATGTTGAAATTTATTTAACTGCTTAAATGTGTGTGCGTGTTTCCATGCTTCAGAAAGTCATGATGTGATTTAGTGCAGATCATTTGCCTTCATGAGTTGTTTTCATACACAAAAGAATGTATGTTAAGCCCTTTCTGTGTTTTGTGTATCAGCAGTTTGGCACTGTCTTCCCCCATTTCCATCATCAAGCATTAATGTAGCCTGTTAAAGCTACAGCTTCAAAAAGCTATGCTGTTCATCTTATCATTTACACCCTTAGAGAGCCACAGGAAAATAAGTGTTTGGAAAGGAAAAATATACACTAAAACACTGAAAATGTTCTTAATATATTTTGGTGGCGTTGTCCGTTTCTTTCGTTATTCTGATGGTTATATTGTCAATTATCAGTTTCACCTCACAGATTTCTTTCTGAACATATCAACAGCAGTCAGCAGGTTTTGGTTTCTTTCAGAATTGTGACATTCAACAAGCATACTGGGAAAACTCCATTAAAGGAAACCACGTTCGATTGAAAGTAAGTAGGCGTTCAGACCAAAAACAGCCCTGCGTTTAAAAAACTTAGATGATGAATCACGATTGGGTTTAAATGCTCATCAGACACTAAAACACTGCACAGTGGTAAATGTTACAAGGAAGGATTTTTTCTTTTATCACAGAAGCAATCTTTTGCCTCGACAATTATAAGGGTAACAGTAGAAATATAATGTTCACAGTACATAGTAATCTACCAGGAATGTACATATGCAGTTTTTGATTGGCCTCTGCAGCGCCTTGCCAGTTGAAACTGCATTGCACTGAGGCAAAAGTGGAGGCGTTTCACGATAGAGACCCTGCGTTGGCACCCCCGCTTGGCTTCCAGAGTACCCTCATTCAAATTAATAAGGGAGCTGCATTTTTTCACCTTTATATACATTCTCTTTGAGGTATTTTGGAAAAAGTAGGGTTAAGGCCTAAGTATGTATTAAATGAATGGTTTCCAAACTTACCAACACTGGAGACGGTCACACACAGGCCTTTTATCTCCCACCTCACTTAAAGAAACTTTCAAACTCTCTCAAAGTTGTTTTTCAGTCATTTTAGCAAGTTTCAGCAGTCATAGGAACACAGCACTTGCAGATCAAGTGGATATGTGGGTGATGAGCTTGCATACTGATTACCTACTTACAGAAGTTCAAGATACCTGCAAAATGGTCTATAAAGCCTATAATTCTGTACCTATATGCAGTATCATATTGTTTCCTCACGGTCTGAATGACCATTACAGGGGGTTTGCACCACAGGTTTAGGGCTTGGGTTACAATTTTCTTGAGACACCTTTAGATTTTCTTGCTTTAAGTACAAAAACAAGCTGATGGTAGATTCAGCAATTACGAAAATGACAAGACATCACCCAAAATGCTTTGAACACCAGCTAAGTGCGAGTTAGCAGAAGGTAGATTTTTTATTTAATGTTGTGTAACTCCAAAAGGTCTCGCCCAAGCTAATGGGACAATATAGGTAATAACCAAGACCCAGAGAAAGGAAAGGCACATCATTTCCTGTTCTTTTGTGTGTAATAAATGTGTTGCTCATGTAGATATTGGCTTACTGGCTGCTATGCTTGTCAATCTCTCGCAGTTGTATATCCAGATTTTTGTGCAATACTGTATTTTTGTAGGAAAGCTGATAATCGAAGCCTATCCCTATGTCTGTGATTTCTCTTCTTTTCTCTTTAGAAATGTGTAGTCTGTGTGCCCATATGTCTGGTATTTCACATGAGGGTTTTTGGGGACCAATGAGAAACTGGGAGGAGTTCACTCTGTAAACTTCTCTTTTGGTGTGAGAAGCGCTGCTGCTGCTGCTGCTGTTACTATGTGCTCTTCCACTGAACTCTAAATCACATGCTTCTGCCCCACCCTCCCCCATCCCTAACCTTTGAAACTGCACTTACACTATGACTGCCCACCACGGCTTTCAGCTGGGCAAGATAGTGTTTGTTTCTTTTTGTGTATGTGAGGGATGTTGTACAGTTTTTGAGAAGGCTCGTGTGATGAAGCTTCATTGTACATAAACTAAATAAAGCGCAAATGAATCCCCATCCCTCTGCTTGGCGGTTTATTCAGCGCACACAGAAGAACTTTAAGGCACAAGCTGTGATTCAAATGTAGAGATTCACCCACTAGCAAAAATCCAAACACAGGACTTAAACCTTCTATTAAATCTTGTGAACATTGACGGACAACCTGTTCAGCAGCTCATTTCTGAAATGAATCCACTTTACTCGATCAGTCAGCCAAACTGAAAACGCTGCAGCCTCTCAAACTTTGATGCTAAAATATTATATAAATATAAAAAAAACACACACATTGTACACACAAAACAAAAGGTTGCTCAACACCTATCTCTCCCAACGAGTGCATGCATCACTGGCAGTAACGGCAGGAGTTTCTTTCTGGTATAAAGCTTTTTGCTGATTACGCAAAGTTTACATGGACAACTTGTCCCCTGACTGTTCTTTGCTTAATGCATTCAAGTCAAGGACAACAAAACGTCGTTTTAGTAATGCAGTAACGCAGCATTACTTGTATTGTAACTGTAATAATATTACTGTTTTGGAAATAGTAATCCTTACACTACTAGTTGCGGTAAAAGTAATAATACAGTAACGCATTACTGGCTAACACTGGTGTACAAAAATATCTTGCTCCCAAAAAAAGTATTTAGACATGTCTGATTTTGGATTCATCCACTCCATGGGACCAGCTCCACTGGCCTCAACTCAACCTTTTTTGGTTTTCTATTGTTAAAGTCTAAAGTTGTACCTGTTACCTGGTAATTTTGTTCGTATCACCTCCATTGAGGTTCCAAGCAAGATGAGGCTGAGATACTAAAATGTGACGTGACAACACTGCAGACCACTGATTTGTCAGAGAGAATCGTCACTATTCACTGCATCATCATTGCACGCTAGACAGAGGCCAGCAACAGAAAGTTTTATATTTTACAATTTTCATACGTTATTTCATCACGAAATCCACTTCTGAGAATTTTTGAGGCGAGATATTAACTGTGTAGATTTCGAATATTGGCAGTGTTAGGAAAATTGATGGTGGATCGAAAATGTGCTAAAACGTTTTGGAGGAGCTCCACAAGTGGCGGCGGAGGAAGCTCGCGCTTCTGGTCCCACAGTCACACAGACCACTGCAGCCAATGCAGCAGATGACTCCAGCAACAACGGCAGAGGAAAACACAGCCGTAAGATTTTTATAACACTATTCTGTCTTTACATTCTGAGTAATGTTAAAACTCTTACTTAAATCAAAGAGACAGATGGTGTGTGTGGGTCACGGGTGTGTGTCACGTTGAACATTACGTTGCGGCAGTGTGTGGCGTTGCACTTGGATTTAATAACTGGTTGACCCTCCTTTGGCAGCAATAACCTCAACCAAACATTTCCTGGAGTTGCAGATCAGACCTGAACAACGGTCAGGAGGAATTTTGGACCATTCCTCTTTACAAAACTGTTCCAGTTCAGCAATAATCTTTGGATGTCTGGTGTGAATCACTCTCTTGAGGTGAAGCCACAGCATCTCAATCGGGTTGAGGTCAGGACTCTGACTGGGCCACTCCAGAAGGCATATTTTCTTCTGCTGATGCCATTCTGTTGCTGATTTACTTCTGTGCTTTGGGTCGTTGTCCTGTTGCATCACCCATCTTCTGTCGAGCTTCAATTGGCAGACAGATGGCCATGGCCATACATTCTCCTGCTAAATTTCTTGATAAACTTTGGAATTTATTTTTCCGTCGATGACAGCAACCCTTCCAGGCCCTGAGGCAGTGAAGCAGCCCCAAACTATGATCACCCCTCCACCATACTTCACAGTTGGGATGAGGTTTTGATATTGGTGTGCCTTTTTTCCTCCACACATAGAGTTGTGTGTTCCTTCCAAACAACTCAAGTTTGGGTTCATCTGTCCACAGAATATTTTGCCAGTAGTGCTGTGAAACATGCAGGTGCTCTTTTGCAAACTTCAGACGTGCAGCAATATTTTTCAGACAGCAGTGGCTTCCTCCATGGTGTCCTCCCATGAACTGCATTCTTGTTCAGTGTTTTACGTATAGAGTGATAGAGACATTAGCATGTTCCAGAGATTTCTGGAAGTCTTCAGCTGACAGTCTAGGATTATTCTTAACCTCACTGAGCATTATGCTGTGCTTGTGCAGTCATCTTTGCAGGACGGCCACTCCTGTGGAGAGTGGCAAAAGTGCTGAACTTCCTGCATTTATAGACAATTTGTCTTATCATGGACTGAACATCAAGGCTTTTAGAGATACTTTTATTACTCTTTCCAGCTTCATGCAAGTCAACAGTTCTTAATCTTACATTTTCTGAGAGCTCTTTTGTTCGAGGTATGGTTCACATCAGGCAATGCATCATGAGAATAGCCAAATTAAAATTGGTGTGTAACCTCAGTGATTGGACTCCAGGTTGCTGACTCCTGACTCCAATTAGCTTTTGGAGAAGTCATTGTGGGAATTGCGGGAAATGTCTTAACTATTTTCTTCTTTTCATATTTAAGTACATTTCATCAGAAGAACATAATAAAAAATGTTTCGGTGAAGCTTCACTATACCCATGTTGCTGTAAGAACCACAGTTGTCTGGGTTCTTGGTGGAGAGGAAAAGGAGGGAAGGTATTGTGAGAGCATCTGCAAAGTAATTGAAGCCCAGTGTTGAGATGGACTGACTGATTACAGTGTGTCTGCTCCTACATTTTCCCATCATGGCAGCACATTCTGCTGTCTTCCACCACCCAGTGCAGGATATCAACATCAGTATTTTTGGTACAAAAGTGAAAAGCATGCTCATTCTTAGCTGTTTTGATATTTTTATGGTACCTAAACATGGTACTCTTCTTTTAACTTCAAACTGTCAATTCAGTAATGGAAAAGAGCATTTGGTCCAAATGCTCAGGGAATAGTGCAAAGTACTTTTTTAGAGTATAACAGTGTATGGCGTTCCCACAAGTAGGAAAAAGACAAACGATAACATCCAGCCAATGACATACTGTACATGTAAGAAGGTGCACATGCTGACATGTGCACACATCCAGTGTGTTACACCAACAATACACATCAACTCAGTAGATTAATGAAAAAAATGTCTATGATGTAGTATGGTGTGTTAGTCCCTGCTCAGAGTCACCTTTATGGACAAACCGCTCCAGTTGGTTTTGTATAATCATCATATTATTTTACCACTTTACTTTTTAATCCAGTACAGTTTTTCACAGTACATCAGCAAGTCTATGAGGAATTTAAAAAACATTAAATGTCGCACAACATTCAGAACATTACAGTATATTATAAACAGAATGGACATTACAGGAGTCTTTGAAAAAAAGTTAATTAAAATAAGAAAGAACAAATCAGTTTGTGGTGTAATTTTCCACACAGTAGCTGCACCAGAGGCAGAAATAATATCATTCCAGTAATCCATCAGAGTTTGGTAGGGAGAAATAGAGCGAGAATAAACACATTTTGTTTTAAAGGGCATTGCTGTCATGAGTCATATTGATCCTGTAACATCTGCTACACAAACTCTACCTACCTACCTATCCACACACTTAGCTTTCAGTGGGATAGTGATGATACACTGTTTGTTCATGTTGATAAAGCACTGTTTTTGCAGTTAGCCTTCAAGAAGTTGATGCAACTGGAGCACTTTGGTAGCTGAATAGTTAGCATCTTAATAATATAATGATGATCATCTTAAAAGAAACAAGAAGAAATGTATGCTACAATATTAGTTTGTACTGACAAGTAATTCAGAGAGCCAAAGTCCCGTCTGGGTTAGCCTCTGTAAGTCACTGCAGTCTCTCATTTCTTTTTTCCACCTTTCTGAAAAGTGAAACGTGTTCCTCAGGTTTACTGTGAATATTCAAAGATAAATTATAGCAGGACTTTAGAATTTGGACCTTACATATTTTAATAAAGAAACAAGAAAATATTTGTTAACAAACAAAAAAACATTACAGCTCCCCCAACATTTCAGCGCCACAGCACACCAAAAGCGTCATCTAACCACTGGTTATATCTTATGATTGGTGAAAAGTACACTTTTCTCTCTAATCACCTGTTATTTTCTCTGTTGGGAAAGAATTCACTTCCCCACATGCACTGTAGAAAAGGAAATACAATCAACACCTTTGGCCTTGAAAAAGTTTAACCTCTGAGAACCAAGATGCAACCACCTTGTTAAGGTGGGTATTGGTAATTAAGTAAAGGAAACTGCTTACATGGTGAATAAGTGTATTTCCAAAAATGTCAAACAAATCCAATGCATATCAGTGAAACCCAGTGTGAATGGCCTGTAGGCCTATATATACAGTATATTGTATACAGTATATACTGACAAATGAATACCATCAAAAACACACTACAAACCACTTGTCACAAGTAAGAACAGACCTTTACACATCCGACATTTTGACTTGTCATAGCAAAGGAAACACAGGTGTAAGTAATAACATAATGATGGCTCAGGGCAGAAATACACAGGAAGTGGCATGGTCCCCCTCCCCCACTCAGCCGCTGGTCGGTAGATCTATGAAGCTGTCAATCCAAATGCAGGGGGCCGCTGCCTCCACTGTTGTTGCTATTTTGGCTGGTAATACAAATCATCATGGAAGCTGTGTCCAGTTTTGTAAAATAACTGAAAATTACACTTACAATACAAATTACACAGATTTTGCATCCCTCAAGTCACAGTTCATATATTTGAACTTTACCCTGCACGCAACCTGCCCATCTCTTAATACTGGTTGTTATGCTTCACGTGAGCGATTTAAAGTTTTCCACAGTAAGTGGATAGAAGCTGCTGCTCCACCTGGCTCTGCTTTTTTCTGACATGTCAAAATGAAAATGGTCTGATGTAAACAGCTTTCTCATCACTGATTAAAGTGCCCAAGATTTTGAATCCACAGACAGCAGTGTAACAGCAGTTTCTGCCTATTAGGACCCTAGAAGCAAAATCTGTTAATTTAATGGGATCACTGTATTTACTGGATCCTTTCACAGAGACAAATTACATCAATGGGAATCTATTGCTTCAAGTTCAGTTTTGGTGAACTTCGACACACAAATTTGCTTCATCAGCAAACCATCCTGCTGACTTTAGAGGAAATGGAGAGCTGGAGAGTCTACCTTTATATAACCCCGTGATACGGTTTACAGACAGAAAGATTGTATGGACGCTTATAGTGTATTTAAATTCTTTCAAACTGTATTAGGTGTAACAACTCTGAGTTCACGGTGTAACACTAACTTATAAAGGGATAAATATTGTGTGAAACTTGTTTCTTCCAGATGATTGGTAACGTTTTGATGCTACATGGGACAAGGCATAGGGTTTCTATATCAATTTCTCAACAGCAGTATCCTTGTTTTTTATGATATAGAGGCACATACCTGTAAATTCTCAAAGCTGATTTTCAAATAATGGCCTAGTGCCAAGTAATACACGTGCGTGTGACCAGTGTGAATAAATAAAAGCTGGTCACTAACAAAGACGAGGTGAAAACAAAAAGGATTATAGGAGGTAGTGAATTACCTGTCAGCTTCTACAAAATTATAAATCCATTATAATGTTCCATCGGTTCAACAAGTAGGTACTGCACACTTACCACTGTGCTGCTCTAGTGGTTTCATTTTTAAATAGTTTTCATTCACCAAGTAATTCCAGTCTTTCCACTTTTTTAACATCACTGTTGAGCTATTGTCATTGAATCACATCGTTCACATTAAAAGCCTAACAACAAAGGGAACGCTTTTAATGTAAAAGTTCTGCAGGAAGTGTGTCTGTATTCTTTCTGTATTATTAGCACTAACTCTGTGCAGCAGAGTGAGGAGTATGTAACGATGGAATTATGTACCTGTTGTCATGATATGATGAATAAATCAAGACAACAAGTTAAAGGACATTTTGAATTTGCATTAATTGGGGAGCAGAGGAATTTTGGGAATGAAGCGTGTCTTTTCCATAAGCCTGTTATCAGCCTGGTTCTCCTTGCCACTGAGGTAAATAAAGGCCACTATTTTGAGAAATGACAGTATTAATGATTTATTAAATAAAAAACAGTACAGCAACTATAAACGATCTTTCTCTCTGAAGTTGCCAAAAAACATGTAGGTTCTGTTTATATTAGGAGGATTTTATGTATCTATATTGTGTTTTAGAATACATTCCACATCCTTTTCTGAGGCAGCTCAAATGTGTTGACTTTCCCACACTGGCAAAGCCTTCTGTAACAGTATCAATGCAAACCAGGACCATAGCTTGGGCCAACAAATCCTCCATAATTAAACAAAACAACAGTTTCTTAACATACCACACTATTACCCAATATAATACCAACTTGCACACCAACATCTGGTATTACTCAGTATCATAGACATACAGTAGATAGAAATGAGACATTTAATGGCTGACACATTAATTAAGACAGATTTGTATTTCAAATAAACCAGCAAAGCGTACTTGTTGCTCAGCACCCTCCTACTGCCTTTTGACACAACTCTCTACTTTATAAGGCTGTTGGCTAAAAAAATATCTCTCACACAATGCGCTTGCAACCACAGATCAAGAACAACTTTGGTTTGCTCCAGTACAACTGCTGAGAGGACACTGAACAGTGAAGACTGAACGCGGGACATTCACATGGATATATCTTGGCTGTTTTGTTGCTGTTTTTTTTTGTGTTCCTTTTTTTTGTACAACAAAATAGATCCTCTGAAGGTTAACCTGCATGGCTGGTGTCTTGTTAATCATAATCGTCATATTCTGGATCCACGTCTTCACCCTGGCAGTACGTCCCCTGTGTGGAGTAGGACCTCGTCTTCATTGAACAGTTGGTGTCCATCAAAATGGCCTGAAAAGACAATTGTTGGAAAGTGTTGTTTCTGCCACAACATGTGTCAAAAATCCCTGAGCAGAATCCCTTTCTATCAATTCTCATGTCTGTCATTTTTTTAAATAGAACACCCTGTGCAGATTTCTAATTGTATATTAATAATAAACACAATTAAAAGAGACAGCAGATATTTTCGGCCGATATAAGCTACTTGCAGATATATCTGCATCTGCGTTTATAACAGCTGATATATGATTATTAATAAAGATTAACAGACAGTCAGATCCTTCCAGGTCATGAGTGTTGCATAGTTTGCCCACCAGAGCAGCTCCTCTGTTCAACACACTGCAGCACCACAGAACAAAACATCAGCTGACCTAATATTTTCTAACATCGCCAACAGCAGATAACGCTGCCTGTTGCTAAATTAGCCACAAAGCTAATGCCCTGTTTATCAGTGGAGGAGCGCTAACATTAAAGAGTGATTCCACTGTAGTGTCTCTAGTTACAGTCGGCGTGTCAGAAATGATTAAACGTGAGCTGAACAAGTATCTAACACACAGTTGCAGGTCCTCGTTGTAGACGGTCATGTAGTGTTAGATTAATTCAATATGTAAGGTAATAACTACTGCATGACAAAATATATATATAAATAATTATTTGCCTATGTAGGAGAGCCCTGTTTACCTTATAGCAATGACATGAGAGATGATATATAGTATTATTAGTTTTAGTAGTACTATATTGTTATTTTTTATAGTTTCGCTGGCCCCCACAATACATATACTATTTAATGTTTATTAGTAGTAGTACTCTATAATTTATAATAAATCAGATATTTTAAAAATGTGTTCTGTAGTTTTATACATTTGACTCTTATTTATCAAAACTTTAATAATTTGTTGTACTTTTTCTAACAATACAAGTTTATTTTTAAACCGCATTACGTCATGGTATCTTGGTGAGGTCTCAACATAACAAAGGTTAGGAATAGTCTTTGTTTATGTTATACGTTTCTTAAAATAAGGGGAGAAGAATATCGGCCGATAGATCAGCTATAGTGTAATGAGTTTATTTAGGTAAGATACACATATAACCTCACTTAAGAAACATGAGGTAAGCTCAATAACAAGCGATAAAAAACAAGGGGTTTTGTTAGGCTGGTTATGACTGTTTGCTCCCGTCTTCTCAGCAAATCCAGTGTCAGCTGTGTTGTATAATTAACATTTGATCTTCTAGGTACTGCTCAATGAACACTGGTGTAAAATAGCAAACTCAGTTTGACTTTGCTTAGATATGACATCTTGACCAATTAAAGGTGTGTAAGGGTGAATCAGCTGTGTCCTTACAACAAGACTTAATGTCTGAAGCCTAGTTTGCAGTACCTAGAAGCAGAAATGTTCATTATACAATACAATATGAAATTGTTAGATAGAACACACACCGTGGTGATGGTTTTGCAAATCTTGAGCATACATATTCAAAATGTTGGTATAATATATATATGGTATAGCAAAGATATAATATTTATACCATTATAACTTCTGTAGACGTAGAGCTTGCCATCACATTGGGAATGATTTGTAATGTTTATATATTATAGATTAGACATTTTGGTCAATCCTTCAGTGTCCCATGCCAGTGTGGGAACTACACACAGTTTTTTCATATTCAGTTTTGTTGTGATCATTTAAATTTGCCAAATGATTAAGTTTTGAGGTGGTATAAATTGGGTGGACAGGATACTTAATGTTTTCCAGTACCGTCTCATGTTTTGACATAGATATGCCATTTATCGTAGACAGTATAACTTTTTCACATGTCTTTTAGGCTTCATGTAACTAATGCTTAATGTCAGAGCAATGCCATTCAGAGGTAAAGGCAATGCAAGAAAAAATAATGTTGGGAGCTGTACAACTTCTTATCAACTTATTATGTATGTTGACCTTATCTTCCAGGGCTTCATTATTTCTATGTGTTGTTGCGGGACTTGGTTGAATGTGTTTTGAATCTTACAATTTTCTCTTCTTGTCCTGGTGGATTCCTGAGGAAGAGGCAAAGAGGAGCAAAGAAAATATCCACTACTCCAATTATGGTCATCAGCCAGGGGAAGCCAATACTTTCAGCTATGGATCCTCCAATAGATGGACCTACATCAGAAGAGGACAGATCACATACTGCTTTAGTTTGGTTTGTTTGGCTGAGGGCGGCACTTTGCAGCCACGTACCGGCAAGATGATACATTGGTAACAATTGGTTAACATTAGGGTAAATAAATAGTATAGCGGTACTGACCTAGTAATTTTTTCAGAACAATGAGAATATTGGTAATGTTGAGATTTAATATCTGCAACAGGCTACTACTAATAACACATCAAGGTTGTCATGTAATCTCAATAATAACATGTAATAATACAATAAGCTAATCTGTTCAGAATAATAAGCTTATATCAGGTTATAAAAATGGCATGTCATTTTAAAATATTTGCAATTTGGTAGTAGTACTTGGGGTAATACGGATGTGGGGTAAAATTTCGGTAATTATAAGGAAATCTGCTAATTGGAAATCGCCACTTATTTACTGGGGGGAAAAAATAATTACATTAATACGTTACGTTAATATGCTTCAAAAGCTCTGATTTCTGAAAAACACAGTACTTTCTGTGCATTATCACACATTAGTGTAGAGGATGCATAAGCACCTGTCTCTAGTTAACGTCATGCTTACATCACTATTACCTAGACACCTAGTAGCAGAACCATTAGCTGGACACACATATGGAAATCTGATTAATAACCATGAATCAGGGCTGTAAAAATCACCTGTTCTACTTACAATATGTTGTGTTTACTAAACATCAACGGAAAACAAGAGTCACATATGTAAATTGAAAAACTATAAAATCAGTGCTGGAAAATGAAAAAACACATTTCCTGTTTGGTAATAATAGTCTAAAAACCTGAGATATTTTATCATATCTTTATAACTGGAAACAGAGATGGTGATTCAAATGTAATAACTATGACTCAGGGTTGGAAAATGTTTATTCTCTTAATTGTATGTAGGTATTTAAACGAAACCCTAACTACATATAATAGTTTCTGTGTAACAACCAATAAGCAGGGCTCCGCAATGAGACCAGAATATCATTTAGACAAACAAGATGAGCTGTCTTGGGACTGGACACTCAAGGTATTATAACCTGTAGTTTAATAGGTTCCTGCTTACCTAAAGCAAATCCCATGCAGAAAGCCACATCAGCAATGGCATACACACTGCCATAAACAGACACATGCCGCAGGTCCACCAGGTAACCCATTATAGGCATCATAGAGGAGTCCACCATGCCTGTAACACAAACAAACAATAAAGATCTTCTTGTTCAACAGGGAACATGCTTGTTTTATTTCTTTTAGTATTAAATTTAGCTGACTTACCAATAGCAAAACCAACACCAAAGTTTGGAAGAATCAGACCATAAATGTTGGTGGCAAATGGAACCTAGAACAGATGGTCAGAAAATTTATTTATTTGTTGGATAAATTTAATTTGGTTTGAAGAGTTATTAAAATAGAACAGAGGGAAAATCTTGATGATCTGGACATTCTGGATGTTTTTTTACCCTGTAAACAGGGTTGGAATTAGATTTTAGTCATTTCCATGTCTGGATATGAATCCGAGGGGGAAAAAAGCATGGAAAAATACCATGGAAAGTTACCAGATTACTGCCCATATTCCATCCATCCATCCATCGTCAACCGCTTATCCTGTGTACAGGGTCGCGGGGGGCTGGAGCCAATCCCAGCTGACATTGGGCGAAAGGCGGGGTACACCCTGGACAGGTCGCCAGTTATTGCCCATATTCTGTTTTCTAAATTATAAAATTCTGAATTTCTAAAAATAAATTGATCATACAATACGAGTGTAGCAGGCTGCCAGCACAGCCAAAATGTTTACTACTGTGTGAGAGAGTGCGGGCCAGATTGAGCTGTCGAAAGCAAGACAAGAAGTATGGCGTGCGACTTCATGCACAGTCCTATGCAGAGCTACCTCTACGCTGCACGTCACAGCCTGCAAAACAGACCAAAACTAAAAAACAACACAATTCTGACAAGATTCTGACATCTGCTATCAAATTAGTTTGAAAGAAAATGCGGCAATATCTTTAAATAGCATCACAAATAACAAAATATTAAACTTGTCTAAACATCTGAGTGATGCAGTGATGTGGTGATCAGAAAAGCAAACCGGCTATCTTTTCTGCGTAAGAAAACCATACCTTTATGGCTTCATCGTTTCCATGAACGCTGAATAAACAAGGCTGCACATATGCTGTGAAAATGTTATTATTTAACTATTTTCAACTCATTTTCAGTTCTTATTTATAAAAGAGACTACATAAATAATCAGAAAACAGGTAGCACCAGTTAGTGGAATGCTGTCCAGCTTTCTGCTTGTGGTTGCGGACTGAAAGGCCATTTTGTTGCCATATTTGGCATTCATGTAGCATACATGTTAAAAGTTGGATTTTAAAACCATTTCTTTACATAGTAAACGTCTAGCTATTTGGGCTTAGATGTCAAATATGGTCTAAAATATCTACAGAAACGTCTGGAAATCTGAGTCTGGAAAAGTATGGAATTCTTCCTGCTAAGAGCAGGAACGTGAATATCATAACCTGGTTTTAAATAAACCTTTTACACCAAGTGCACATATTACAGCATTTTAAAATCCACATTTAGGTAACCTACTGTTACCTTCTGTTGAGTAGCTTATTTTAACCAGCAACATATCCGCTGACCAACCAGTGCTGATTAAATATCCCACAAGTGATATCTCAATTCACACTAATGGTGTAGCTGTGTCCCTCATACTTACACATATTACACTGATTCCAACCACCATAATTCCAATGAGAGCACAAAGCCATCTGTAAGGGAGAGGAGACGTTGTCAGTGTTATTCAAACTAAAACACTTTCACAATAACCTCTGCGTAAAGCTAGTGAATGATGGGAGGTTTTTTTACATGCGTATAACATATTTTCATCATTAATAATCCTTTCCTCGTTATTTAGATGTTGAAACCAGACCCTTCTCCATCAAACAACGTTTGGATTTTAAAGTATGGGAACTTTAAGAGAAGTCACGTAAACATTGGGCTCCAAAACCCTGCATTTGTAAAGATGTAGAACCCTATACTAGCACTATTAAAGCACTTATTGATTATTTATTAAATTTCGCACTATTTTAAACTCACATGCTAACCATTCATACATTCTCCCTTTCTCTACTACTTTCTTTTCTTTAAAAAAATTTCTTTATAATTGCTGTACATTGTATGTGATGTAAGATCCCACTTATACTATAAGCAACAGCAATAGTAGTAGAAACCGTAACAGTAGTATAAAACAGTAGTGACAGTAGTAACGCTGGCTGTATCAGTAGTAATAGAGACAGTAGAAGTAGCATTAAACCTGTAGAAGTGGTAGTGTTAATAGTAGAAGTAGTACTTTGATATGATAAAATTGGAAAATTGAAAGTCCTGTTTCAACAATAAACAAGGTAGTACTGAAAAGAGATTTGGCTAATGGCAATACTCAACAACAAAAGAACATTCTGAATATACAAACCCAAATACTATCCAAGGTGTACACACAGAAATTATGGATGTACTATAGCATCAAAGCTAATATAAAGCCAGCCTCACAACACTGAAAACTCATTTAGAGGAGCGGAAACAGATATCACACCCTCAGAGGGAGAGAGAGAAAGACAGAGGGTAGATAAGGATCATTTCACTCCGTACCTCCCCATCTTGTGCGCCAATGTGCCGAAGATGTTGGTTCCAATAAGGTAGGAGATGGACGCTGGTAAGAAAGCGACGCCTGGGCCACAGATAGACACATACAGACAGATGAGAGACTGAAGGGGGGGCAGGCTTTCCAAGATAAGCAGATCACTATCAGTGCCTCATCAGCAAGCTGCTGTACATCTTCCATTGTCTGTAATGAAGACTTGTGATTTTCACCTGCCAGCATGTGACACCCTAATATCCTGTTCCACACTCATCCTTTTTTATCTGACCTAGACTTTATATATAACGGACTTGAGGAGCAAACTAATAACAGCAAAGACTGAAGGAAGCCTCTGTAGAGAAAATATCTAGCAGGATGAGTGACACTTTTGCTCTACGTTAAGTCCCTAAATAAAAATGTATGTATATTATGTAAATCAGACAAGAGAAAATGTGAAGCAATAACTAATGATATTTAGTAACCAGAGAAACTGACTAACAAAGAGACTATGTAAATTTGAACACAGGGTTTTTTAATGTTTTTTTTCCAGTGACTACTTACTTACTTTTATTCTGTATAATACATTCTGAGTGTGTTGTCTTTTCATAAATAAGATATTTTGTTAGGGTAGCCCAGTGCGTTTCTCAGCAGCTGAGGAGCTCTGTTGACTTATCTTGGGATATGGATGTGCAGGCTAAGTAACAGTTTGAGAAACTAGTCCTGACTATATGCCCTTTGTGGAGAGTTTAGCTGTACCTGTATGTGTGCACATCAGAAAGGCATACAGAGGACAGAATATGAAGACATATTCAGGTAGGAATGACTACAGAAAAATATGGATTTATTTTAGGAGTACGTGCATTATTAGAAATCATCTAAATCTGTTGGTCTATTAATCACAATTTATTTGAACAAGAGTAAAATATCAATACACAATAAAAGTTCAGAACGCTTTTACCAAAAGAAATCGATTCATTATGTTTAATTGTTTCTTTAATCAGGACCAGCGGAACCAGAAAACCATTATTATAAGAATTTGTCATTTAAATACTAAAATGTATTAAAGGTCCAGTGTGTAATATTGACCTATTGATCTATTATATCTATTATATCCATAATTATGTATTCAGTGGTGTATAAAGACCTTACATAATAAAGCATTATGTTTTTATTACCTTAGACTGAGCCATTTATATCTACATAACCGCGGGCACCACCTTCCATGGACGTCGCCACGTTGTGCCGCCATGTTGTGCCGCCATGTTTCTACAGTAGCTGCAAATGGACAAACAGCGCTACAGAGCGCGTTTCGTCACTACGTTCTTCTTTTTCTACTTCTGGTAGAATTCAGGCAGTGCAAACACTCATCACTACGTTGAATACATATGTTCGAAAAAGAAGAAGTAGTAATAATATACAGCAGGGGTCTGCAATAAGTTTTGCATCAGAGCAATAGTTTCATCCATTAGATGGAGGATGAGAATATCAGACATAATATTGACTTTTGTCAACATGATGTTTGGTTAGCTCAGTTGGTAAAGTGCAGGACTTATAACTCAAGGGTTGAGTGTTTGATCCTACCTTGGGGTTTTTTTTCTCTCTTCAGCGAATGTTTCTCAGATCACGGCATGTGCTGCACTATTTGTGTTTCGGTGTTTGATCGTTATCCATCAAGCTACAGACGCTTTTTCATTTCCCCAGTATCTCCAGGCAGAGGACATTTAGGGGAATCACGTTTTCTGACTGCTCTTTCAGAGGTGTGTCAAGCAGGCTACAGACTCTTTTAATGTCCTTCAGAAATTTTCAAAGTAAAAGCTCAGTTCAACTCCAACTACTGCATTACAGTAAACAAGCTTCTCACGCTTTTATTTTGTAGGCAACACCACCAAACAGGAAGTGATTGTGTGAGTAACTGTTGCTGTCATGACTGAGATCTATTTCAGCACCGCTATCAAAGTATTTATTTATTTATATTTTTTGCTGCTATCAAAGCATCATAATCTGGTAGCGAGCCAGATATTATTGTTGGCAGGCAGTTTTGGTGAGGGTCCATAATCACAGAGAGAATGAATGTGTTTCCCTTCTCAATGTTTGTATAAACTTTATCTAAAGTGTGGTTTATAATGGACTGTGGTGCAGAAACAGTGAAAGTGTTTCACACTCTTGGTTTACATTTTCCATGTTATCTGTCAGTGGCATATGGTTTTACTGAATAATTAAGCAAATATAATTTCTAAATATATCTACCTAAACAAACCTCATGTCTTGACTGGCTACTCTCTGCTGTCTCAGAAGAGACAACTTTTGTGCTGTGTCAGCCACCGTAGCTGTCCTACGCTCTTTGAAAGGTTAGGGGGCAGTGGTAGACTGGATAGATGGTTGCATTTTGCAACCTCATCCACTAGATGCCACTAAATCTTACACACTGAACCTTTAATATATTGCATCGTATTAATAAATTGTATACAGCATGAATTAAGGCGGTTTAATAGGTATATTAAAATTGCTTAATGTGACATATGGGCGGATTTTCTTACACAGTATGTGTTTAAGGTGGTTCCTCAGCTTAAAATTGATTACTGTGCACATGCAAAATATGTGCTGCCCAAACGGGAAGCTTCCGGTCAATGATCTGATGCGAACACAGAAGTCCCTAAAACCTGCATTCTATTGAACGGCCAGCAGGGGGCGACTCTTCTGGTTGCAAAAAGAAGTCCGGCTCCATTAGAAATAATGGTAAAATGAGGCTACTTCTCACCTGATTTCTTACCTCAGAAAACACTTTCATAATGAGTTTATGGTCTCAGTCGCTAGTTTCAAGTCTTTTTCAATACAGCATGATGTTCATTTAGTAAATAATGGCCCCATTTATTTTAAAATAGACCATAAAGCAGAGTATGTTTCAGGGCGGGATTATCTATGATTGACAAGTCGTTACTACGGCAACCTGTCAATCAGGCTAGAGCTGACTCGTACCCTCGGCACTGTTTAAACCAGTTACAATGACAGTTAACGTGAACGTTGGTCTGACTGGTCGGCAGTCCTAGTTGTAAAAGACTGTATTGGGAATATTGGCAGCAGAAAAGCAGAGAAAATATGTTTTTTATGAGAAAAGACAAAATCTTATGGACTGTTGAGCATTATACTGGACCGTTGTGGTGAATAGGGAGCTGACACATGTTAGTGGTGTAAAATAGATTAATGGAAAGGTGGATGGGTGGATGTTGAGAAAAGCAGGTGCAAAAAAACTCTTTGGAATAGGGACCAGACCAGGAGAGGGCAAGATCTGCTCTGGTTTCTGAGGCTAGGGGTCTGGGGAGGTATTGATTCTGGTGGACAGCTGATGGCTTACTGACAGTCAAGCAAGTGGCACAATTGTCCAATCAGCTAAGAAAAGGGTTGAGTGAAGGAGAGCACTATCAGCCATCGTTGTACTGCCTCTTTGAAGTGATGTATAATCCATGAAACAGTCTATTGAGCACAACCAGCAAAGCAAAAATTGTGGATTGGCTGTGCAATGAAAATGTTTCTGTAAGTTTCAGCTATACATTACAATAGTTTCTAAGCATACAGTGCAGTTTTAGATTTGTTAATTAATGTTCACTATGGTGAATTACTTAAGTAATTGATTGGTTGATTTCAAAATGAATTGAAGTCAGTGGCTGTCTAGAAGGCATGGAAAACACATTTGAAATTCTGATGCATTATATTTTGGAAAGTGGTTGGCAGTAATGTAAAGTAAACATGAATTTCCAATAAAGAGGTTAAACAATACAAAACACTGAAATGGTCCTTTAAGGTGTTAATTAAATGATATGTTTTAGCATTGAGGTCATAGTTAGTAATATGTTAATAATGCTAGACTGCATTATATTCAGAGGTGTTCCTAATATTCTGCCCTCTCATGTATGTAAATAGGGAGGACCCACAGTTAGAAACACCTTTTAATATAATGTAGTGCAGTACACCACTTTAACCTCAATAATGAACATGAATGTACACATTTCTAACAAAGGTAGAATCATGGCAATTAGGTGCTGTGACAACATATGCTGCATGAATAATATGTATTTTCTGTAAAGTACTGAACAGAGCTTTGTAAATACCTAGCTGCCATTTCCTAGCACACATGGTCTCCATCATCCAGATTGGCAGCGTTGGCTCCATCATGGCAATGGCCATATTTCCAAAACAAATGGCACCTGTGGAAGAAGATTGAGCATAAGTGGACACAGTGTCAATTATGGTCTGCTTTTGGTGTTTGGTCCTTATCTGTTACTCTTCCAACCCCCGACTCCCTGCACATAGACACACACACAGCCTGCTGTCTTTGTTACTGTGTTCTCACAGTAATTGATGGTGTGTTGAGGGAAAAGCTCACTCACTAACAGATGCAATTTCCCTGCTACATACAACGTAATACCCTACATGTGAGGACCATATAGTAACCACATGGCTAATCCCTAGCCATAGCCTGAAAAGACACCAGTAAAATTTTGGGATTTTGTCCCACTGGTGAGACAAACACGCCTCATTTGTATTGTGCTCTACTTTTGGTGAATGTGTTATTTTTAGCTTTCAGTGAATGATTTACTGGTAGCAGTGATTTAAAACTACCAGTATTAGCCACTGTAAATATAGTGTTCCCTGTGTTACTTTGACTTGTGAGTTGTGTTGAGGAAAGTGGGCAAGGATAACTGATACCAACCAGACACGAATAAATTGAGTTTATGTTTAGAAACACTAGGCTTAGAGGGTGCTGCTCATTTTGTGTTTGGGTTATTATATAACAGGTCAGAGAGTTTTTGTTTAATTTGATTTCATAGTAGTTAGTGGCTATCTCTCATTTTAGAGAGACTTTTTTTCACCTACATAATACTGCAAAAATCGGAAACATATTGTCTCAAAATGATACGGAAAAACGTCTCGGGTTACGTATGTAACCCTTGTTCCCCGAGAAGGGGAACGAGACACTGCGTCGGTGACGACACTATGGGAACGCCTTTGGGCGTGGCAGGGCTGAAACATGAATGAAACTACTCCGATCCTATTGGTGTTGCTAGAACGGTAGCGTGTGACGGCGTAACTGGAGGTGTATATAAGCACGCCGGCACACAGGACACATTAGCCCTTTTGCTATGAAGCAACGCACTCCAGGCGGGGTGAGGTGCGGCGGTCCGATGCAGTGTCTCGTTCCCCTTCTCGTCTGCGTCGGTGACAACACTATGGGAACGAGATACCCACTTAGGCCGCGACGAAAACCCCGCCTGCCCCCAGCGTGCAGAACCTGACGGCACGACTAGGAGGAGAGCACACGGGTGCCGGGTGCAGAAGGAAGACTGTAAAACTGGATGAGTGTGAGGAGTGGCCCAGCCAGCTGCCTCACACAAATCCTGGAGCGAAGCCCCTACGAGGAGGACCCTAGAGGCCGCCATGCCTCGAGTAGAGTGCACCCTTACTGAACAATCCAGTTGCTGATCGTGTGTTTAGAAGCGGGGAGCCCAGCCTTGGGCAACTGGTCTGCTTTCCTCCACTGGGAGGACCTCAGAGTGTAAATACTCAGCGCTCTGACCGGGCAGAGCAGATGAAGTCTCCCGTCCTCCGCCGTCACATGAGGTGGGGGATGAAACGCCTGCAGCACCATAGACCCTGCCAACCTGGAACCTTAGGGACATAGCCCGGACAGGAGTGCAGAATGGCTCTGACCCTCCCAGGGTCAAACTCCAGGCATTGAGGAGAAACCGAAAGTGCCTGGAGATCCCCCACCCTCCTCAGAGAGGTGATAGCAAGGAGAAAGGCCATCTTAAGGGTCAGGTGCTTGGCCTCAGCCAACTCCAGGGGTTGGAAGGGGGCCTCAGCCAGCGCTTCCAGAACCACCGCCAGGTCCCAAGTGGGAAACCTGGAACGAGTCACGGGTCTCATCCTCCGGGCTCCACGGAGGAAGCGCACGACCAGTGGAAGCCTCCCCTGAGGCCCATCCGCCGTGGAACGCCGCCATGGCAGCCACAAACACTTTGAGTGTGGATGGGGAAAGGCCAGCAGAGAAACGGTCCTGGAGGAACTCCAGTACCATAGTCACCGGGCAGGTAACTGGGTCCACCGCCCGTTCTCTACACCAGGTGGCAAACACATTCCACTTCAGGCCGTACGTCCTTCTCGTGGATGGGGCTCTGGAGCTGAGCAGCGTCTCGACTGTTCCCGCCGTCAGGCCCGCCTCCAGGAACTGGGCCCCCTCAGGGGCCAGACCCACAGTCTCCACAGGGCGGGGCAAGGGTGAAAGACCTGGCCCTCCGCCTGGGACAGCAGGGGGGACCTGCCATGGCGGGCCCTCGAGGAGCGATATTATGTCCGAGAACCACACTCGGGCCGGCCAAAACGGGGCTACCAGCAGTAGACTGACACCGTCCTGACGGACCTGCTCCAGAACCCCTGGGAGCAGAGCGACTGGGGGAAAGGCATACAGGCGCAGCCTCAGCCGTGTCTGAACCATGGCATCCAGCCCTAGTGGGGCTGGGGGCGAGAGGGAGAACCACAGGGGAAAGTGCGTAGTGTCTCGAGACGCAAACAAGTCCACGTCTATGGGGCCGAACCTTTTGCATAATAACTCCACCACCTGAGGGTGAAGTCTCCATTCCCCGGGCCTCAGCCCCTGTCTCCACAGCAGGTCTGCTCCCTGATTATGGGTCCCAGGGACGTATGTCTCTCTGAGGGACAGCAGTCTCTTCCGGGACCACAGGAGGATCCGATGTCCCAGTTTGCATAACGGGCGTGAGCGCAGACCCCCCTGGTGATTCAAATAGGCCACCACCGCCATGTTGTCTTGTCCTGACAAGGACGTGGCGACCGTGGAGAGGGGGCAGAAAACTCGGCGGCCTAGCTTCACTCTGGTCACCGAGGACAAAATGGACCCGACACGTGCATGCGACAGGTGGGCCCGCATCGCCGTCGAGTCCCACACCACCCCTAGTAATGTAGTCCGTTGGGCGGGCGTCAGCACGCTCTTCTTCGTGTTGAGCCGCAGCCCCAAACACTGAAGTGGGCGATGACGGCATCTTGATGCCGAACCGCTAACTCCCAAGACTGAGCCAAGATGAGCCAGTCGTCGATGTAGTTTAATATGCGGATGCCCTGGAGCCTCAGCGGGGCCAGAGCTGCATCCATGCATTTAGTGAACATGCGAGGAGAGAGTGCTAGGCCGAACAGAAGAACCCAATACTGGTACGCCGCGCCCCCGAAGGCGAACCTAAGAAACTTCCGGTGAGAGGGACGGATGGAGAAGTGGAAATATGCGTCTCGTAGATCTATGGTGACAAACCAATCCTCGGATTGGATGTGACTGATGATGGTGGGGATGGTGAATCTCTGAGGAGATTCAGGTTCAGGGACCAAATTTCTACAAAATCCGCCAAGTGAGCCCAATCGTTTTCCAGCTGCAACCCCTCGAGGCGGGCAGACTGGTGAGAGCTCGCTGGCGGTTAGCATGTCCCGAGCGCCAAAACGGCGGGAAAACAGCGCCTGTTGCCTGAGCTGCCACAAGGGAGGGGACCTCGGTCAGCCTTCTTTTGTCTGTTCCATGATTTACATAACTCGGGGGTGGCGCTCGGGCTGCAGAAAAGCTCATAGATGTTACTGCCGGCCTGCGGTTCATGCCCCGCCTCTCATAGCTGGGTGCGGTCTGATGATGTCGGCCCAGCTCCCGGAAGTCATCCTCCATAATGCTAAGCACGTCTAGCTCCTCAGGATCAGACTGTGTAAGCCTCTCCAAACTCATACCTCAGGCGGGAGAAGCCAAGAAACGGACTCCCGAACGGGGAAGAGAGGAGGCGGAGTCAGCAGACGAGGAACGGGAAAAAGCCTCGGCAGTCCCGATGCCCTCGGAGATGTAGCGCTGGGCGCCCCATGACCGAAGCCGCCGCGCCGCCTAAGCGACCGCCGGGCGCGAGCCACGGGGAGAGCGCATCCGGCCGTCTTCGGAAAAGAGAGCCGCACGGGACCTCAGCACCCTCAGGGGCAGGGCCTCGCAATGGCCACAAGCAGCCCCCTCGAGAGCTGCCTTCCCCAGACAGGAAACACACAGGGCATGAGTGTGACAGCCGTGATGTAGCGCGGGCATAAAATCCTTCTGCTCACCTACAAAGCTCTTAATCGTCAGGCACCATCTTTTCTTAAAGAGCTCATAGTACCTTACAACCCCACCAGAACACTGCACTGAGCTCCTCTCTCCTCCCCTCTCCGTTCTTGCTTGATACCCCTACCTAATTTTATATTTGTCCCACTACCACCATTACTGTATTTTTACATCTCTGTTCTCTCTCTCCCTCTCTCCCCCAAAGCAGTTGAGCAGTTGGCCACCCACTTTGAGTCTAGGTTCTGCTTGAAGTTTCTGCCTTTTAAACGTTTTTCCTTGCCACTGTGGCCAAGTACTTGCTCGTAGTTGGAACTATTGGGTCTCTGTTAATAATATTACAAAGAGTACGGTCTAGACCTGCTCTATATGAAAAGAGCAATGAGCAAACTTCTTTTATGAATTGGTGCCAAATAAATAAATAATGCTTTTCCAGAATGGGGTGACAGCCTATTGTGCTGCTGTTACTTTCTTACCAGCTGCGATTAAAATGTATGGATCCTTCATTAGTGTCAACAGCGGGGTTCCCTTCTGACTCTGTGAAGGACAAAGGCACAATAACAAAATTCTATGTCAAATGTATAAAGCTTATACTGTATCTCCCAATCAAACCCCCACTTCTAAAAGACTTTGGTTACAAATCTCAGTGGAATCCACTTTTGTAAGATGTATTTTTACACTTTTATGTTTGCACACATTGCCAACATTACCATTAAGATAACCTCCTGCTCCCAGTTAAATATAACCTTTGAGAACAAATCTATGGTTTTGGTGTAACAGCACTGACTGAGTTCACTCATACATAATGTTTGTAAAATATTTAATGCTTGTTCAAAATTTAAAGGGACTTTTGTGTTTTATTGCAAGTCTCTGTGGAACCTTATTAAAACGTCTAATAGGCCCCTGGCCATTTTTTAGAATGCCAAAGATAAAGGATATTGAAAAGGTGAAAGAATCTGCTAATGAAAAGAAACTAATTCTCCAGTTGGCTTTGCTTCCGTTAGCATTTCTGTTTGGTTGTAATCTTTGTTAGAATATTACATTATGTGTCATCCTGAACAGGGCAGTCTTTCTTTTCTGAAGGAGTCATTAATTAGTGTTGAAAAACTATATCTAATGAGTTCACTGAAGCCTCTATCAAATGCTTTTCACTCTCTTTAAGCCTAATGCATTTACCATTTTTGGTACCACAATTACAGACATTTACTTGTCAATTTTTACAACACCGTAAACTTGATTATTCTCATATAAAACAATCACCACAGTGTACAGCAGGAGGAAATGGAGACACATCGCCTATATTTATGTACGGTCTGTGGTCCTTACCCTATTTTACACCCTTGCAATTTACTATTTACCAAAAGCCTTTTCTGTTTCTCTTCACACTTCCTATATTTACTATCTAATTAAGAAAGAAATTCCATAAAAATAGTCTTTAAAATGTTCTGAAGCTGTAAAGGCCATCTTAATGAAGTGAAATAACTTTCAGGAAATTAATTGCAAACAGACTCACCTCTGGTTCCACCTTGGTGGGCTGAAGAACAAAGAGCTGCAGAGCTGTGAAGACACAGTGAAGTCAATTAATAATTTGATGCAATGATATTTAAAACACTAGATATTATTTAAAAGATGTATGGAATTCACACATTATTTTTACCATTCTATCTACAGTAATTATTCTTGGTTTGGTGCAAGAAAGAATGTATCATTACCTCCATCAAACATTGCCAGGAAAGCCAGAATAAGGAAAGGAGCTGTCTTCCCAACAAACTCATACATCACACTGCCAAAAGGGGGTCCAACTGTGGAAGACAAACTGGATGGTCAGTTGCGGAGAGATCAACTATAAAAATCTATCTATCTGTGTATCTACACATATATACATACATATACACACTCACACACACTCACACACTCAAACACACACACATACATATATATATATACACCATATATATATATATATATTTATTTCAATGAACATATTGTATTCCCACTTTAGAAAATACCACAAGTCTTTTGTCTCCTTATCCTAGGATGAGGAATTATCATGACAATAATAACAACAACAACAACAACAGTTAACAATAGTAATAATGAATGATGTACTTAAGTGTAAAGGAAATGCAATATCTAAATAAGAAATGTCAATAAATATGTAAAAGCTCCACAAGAACAACCGGTGTTTAGTCTTCTGTGACCTAGCATCACTTGGTTTGACTACGTACAGTATGTATACATACCTAGCACTCCCAATGCCAGACCTCCCAAGGCAATCCCAATGGCATGACCTCTCTCCTCATCATCTGTGTACACACTAGCAAGCATTCCCATCCCTGAAAACACACAGATGTATAGATAATTCAATTCAAACACCACTTGCATAAGAACATAAGACAAATTAGGAGTATAGGAGTTATTTAAAATTGAATTCCCCCTAGTGGGAGTAATGAAATATGTCTTCTTCTTAATACTTTTTGTTGCTACAACTAATGTTGCTGTGTAGTTAAAATGTTTCAGTGTTTACTTCTATGATCAAGAGCAGTAGATAACAATTGGATACTGTAACTTCTTAAAAGTTACTTTTAAAGATTGTGGGTCTTTGGGGGAGTGTCAGCACCATTGGTGCCTAATTTCTAGGTCAGCAGGAAAGCTACAGTGCCAAGCCGTTCTGGCGGCTTGCTAACAAATATTAAAACTAATGCTACAAGCAGAACAGGATGTTGTTCCTGTCTGCGGCAAATTAGCTTAAAATTGATAAGCTGTAATAATTTCTTCTAAATGGAGTTTGTTCACACTTTCGGTAGCAACCTAGATCCAAAGGGTGAGAAAAAATATTAACATTCCATTTTTATATTAGCTCAAGATTGTTAACCGTATATCCCATTTCAAAGATCAATGACTGCCATTGATTCATCAGACCTTGTAATCTTTAGTTAAATCAACCAGATGGACATACAGAAACTTACAAAAATATTTATTCATGAATGGATATGTTGCTGCCTATGCTGTGAACAAATGGATGCATTTCAAAGAAATTATTATGGCTTAACAAATACAAGCTACTTCTTTTTATAATTTTGTGGCATTAAAGAAAGTGACTTGCCTCCCTCCAGGGAACCCTAAACTCTTTCCATTGGCTGTCAGGACTGAAGTATTCACCTCTTGTCAAGCCTGGCAACATTTGATCTATTAACAATGCAGCTCTCATTTTAATGAAATTAGTGAACAGGCTCAGTCTCTAACACAAGAGCCAGTACACATTCTATGTTTTTTGTGAATTTATATTAATATATTCAGATAAACTGTGTTGTGAGAATGAGATACATGTGAAGAAAAGGACACTGGAAGCCACTGGTTCTGTTTCTTGGGGGGCCTTCATGAGACCGTTCGACACATATAGAAGCCATATAGTAACATGTTTGGCCTGTGCTTTATCTCTGATGGTCTGTGTTTTAAGACCAATAATTGTTGCCTGCTTATCTCAGATAGAAACATTACAAAGCTAAAGTATGCAAGATATTTTGTTTGAATACTGTTTTTTTTATTTTAGTGTCTCTGCAGTTTCTTGTGCTGTGACATTTGCTTGGCCTCCAGAGACCTCTGGTTGTACATGATCAGATTTCAGATTAGATGTTGATTTCCAGTAAAGAGGAAGCAAAAGTCAGCTCTTGCTGGCCACTAAACTCTTAAGATAAATAAAAAAGGATGAGGTCACATGTGCGTGTACCTCGCTCACATGAAGGGAAGTGTGAAAAGAGTTGAGAAGATAAGAGGCCGTTCCACTCTTTTAAAGTCAGAAATAGACGAGGAGAGTAGAAAGAGTGTTGACAAGAATTGATTTAATGTATTCTGCATTTGGACTGATGCATTTAAAACAGATTTTCATTTGTGCATGCATTTAAGATCATGTAAGAGAAGAAATGTTCATTTGGTTTGTTCCATGAAGTGTGGCCTAGTATATTTGGCCTTTATGAGTTGAAAATGTATGTGTTCAGTGCCCTTCTCTCTGGAATCTAAAGTGAGAGAGGATTGAAGGGGTTGACTATCTGGAATCTGGATTTAGACATTTAATACTGATGGTCAAGCCAGTATCTAGTATTGAAACTAGCTTGTTATCATAGGTCGCCTTTCTTTGGTGGTATTTGAATTCATAATGTGCTAAGGGCGCCCGGAGTTGGTGACCTGAGAGAGCAGGGTTTCCCCGCGGTGGGCCACTTGTCGCTACAACTGAATAGTGAATAATTGAATAGACTGACCGGATATGAGCATCACATGGAGATAGAGAGAAGGAGGTCTTACCAGCCACAGAGGAGCAGGAGGAGCCCACACCTTGAAGCGATCTGGCCAGAAACAGCAGAGCGTAGCTTGATGAGAAGGCGAACACTTCACAACAGTGAGAACAACAGAAATATAGACAAAGAAATGTCAGGCATGATGCAGGCATTCTGATTTTGTGATAATAAAGACAGGTTGGGTGGAACTTACTGATAGTAGAGATGAACATGATACAGAAGCCAGCGAATATGGGAAGTTGGTATCCTATTCTAAAGGGACAAAGAAAAAGCCAGGCATTACATTCATATAGTAAGCAAGTAATTAGAGATGCATATACAAATATACGTGAACTAAATGGCTTAATTTAGATGCTGATTATTTCAATGGAAAATTCTTCAGCCACAGAGGTGAATATGCATAACAATATCATGAGTGTAGTCCTCCATCGGTTTGAATGCACTGTTGCTATGGTCAACCAGGACAGGTATGGAGGATGTACATTACATGTACCACCTGTGTATGAGGTGTCAAAACGGCAAGTAGAACTACGTAGTAATAAGAAATCACTTGAAAACCAACATTATAAAAATAGAAAATAAATGTCCTGAAACATAATGAGCATTAAGCATTTGTTGAAATTCTGCATATGCATGACACATTCTTGTTGTTAGCCTGACATTTTAACCAAAACACTGGAGGAGGATGACAACATATTTTTCATTAAAAGGCTAAAAGCTGCTGTGCACAACAAAGCTGTTGTACCTCCCTATAGATACCTGACATGCTTGACTTGTCTTGTATTGTCCTCTGTCAGGAGGGAAGGTGACTACGAACCAGTAATGGGATTGTGTTCTTCAATTCAATGCCTCAATTACAGCATATCTGAGTGCCCATCTGAGACACTAAATACTGCCTTTGAGGGGAGAGCCGGTAATGTTGGAGCAGTCACACTTTTCAATCTCCCCCTAAACATTTATCTGACATTCTGTTAGGAAGATCTTCAGCCTGGCTCTGTTCTGGTAGGTTTTCATCTTCAGCATTTTTTGTTTAGTTTTTTTCTTTGGCTTGTGGCCAGAACAAGTTATTGTGGTTTTACTATAATACTAGTTATTGCACATGACTAACCAAATAAATCAATACAGTACAAGGCGTAGGATTTTAATAAAATCTACCTTGATCTGCCTAGTGCTGCTCACCCTAGTTACTCCAGAGGCGTGCGACCTCTGACATATATAGCAATTGTAAGTCGTAAATGAAGCGTCAGCAAATGAATAAATGTAATGTTAGCCATAAATGATACGATTTTTGTTTAAACATAATTAATAACTGTGGAATGATGCATAACCAAATATCAGGTATGTACAGGACAGAATGTAAAGCATACTCAGGCCTCATTTGGAAGCAAAGAGATGACACCAGAGACAAATAAGATGGCTAAATTTATTTAACAGGTAACAGGAATCATCTGGGTTTAAAGGAGATTAGAAAGATGCTGAAAGGTAACGTTTACTATGAATGTACATGACCAAAGCAAAATCTTTGTATGTGTAAACCTACTTGGTGATATCGACCACCAAGAAATAGCACACAAGCTAATTAGGAAGATGTATTTTGTTATGAATGACTGAATGAATTACATTTATATAACGCTTTATCATAGATACTCAAAGCGCTTCACAGTGACGTGGGGGGGTACTCACCTCAACCACCACCAATGTGTAGCACCCACCTGGGTGATGCACGGCAGCCATTTAACGCCAGAACGCTCACAACACATCAGCCAGAGGCAGGCTTGAGCTTGTTATATAAGTGGGAATGGCCAGAAATACATACACACACATAGGGAGGCTCCAGTGTATATAACCTTATGTTTTATGTTTGATGATTTTCAGTTGTGCCTTCAGTTGAGTCCATCTCGGCTTTGTTGTGTATTCTGTGATATCGAAATATAGTCTACAAGTGGCCTGAAAAGTCTTTCTTTGTGTTTTGTCTGACTAAAGTTCATTAAATGTACTGTTTATAGAAAAAACTTCAACCAGTTCTTAAAGAGGTGGTATTATGCTTTTTGGCTTTTTCCCTCTCCTTATTGAGTCATATATCTTTTGTGCATATAACAGGTTTGCTGGGTGAAAAAGCCCAAAGTCCAGCCCAAAGGGAGTTCCCATCTCCCACAGAAAGCTCTGCTCTGAACTGCCTGAAAACAGCTCGTTTGTAGTCCAGCCTTTACTTCCCTTTCTTGTGATGTCACAAGAAAATACGTGTCATAACGCTCGCCAAGCGGCTACTCTGACACGCCATCAAAAACAGCGGTGGAAAAACAGTGAGCTGCAGCACACCTCTCCTCTCCCTTCCAAACACTAGCTACCCTCCAAGCAGTCAGTGGACATAAAGTTGTTACTGTGATGTAGAGACAGAGCTCAGTTAAAACTTTATGGATGAAAGATACTTTTGTTACAGATTAATAACTCACCACTCTGAAACTCTTGCTCCAGTCCAAATTGCCAACCTGGTCGGTAACATGTAGCCTACAGCTGAATCGAAGCTGTTTACCGTCTTTTTGCTGACCCGTCCTCTGCTTCTTATTGGCTAGTAGTCCTTAACTAGGAACTGCGCATGTGCAACTCCCAACAAAAGATAATTTAGAGAAAAGATGAATCACTCCATAGCTAAAATGAAGCCTTCAACACAGGGTGAAAAGAGGAGCTGCAGCAATGTGCTGTATGACACAAAAATCTGGTGTTTTTTGAAAATGAAACCATGTAAACCTGTTCTGGAACAAACCCTAAATAAGATCCCGAAAATGAGCATAATACCACCTCTTATAGTTTATTTACTAAACTGTAAAGTACCATTTAACCTTCAGTGACATTCTACGATGGCAGTGGTCACTGAGCTTCTGCATGGCTAAAAGCTACAGAGAGGTAGTTCATTAATGCAGCATTATTATTAATTAACCCTAATTATTATATTTTTTACTTGTTTTTTTGACATTTTGCCAGCAACGGACCAAGCAGTAAACACATGTGACATGATTATAAAGTTGTTATGGTTAACGGGTAAGCAAATAATTACCAATTTACACATCTAGCAGCCATTTTAAATGTAAATGTAAATGCTCCGTACTTGTATAGCGCCTTTCTAGTCTTTTCGACCACTCAAAGCGCTTTTACACTACATCTGCATTCACCAGTCATACACATTCATACACTGAGCCTAAGTGCTCAAACAGAAACTAGCATTCACACACATTCATACACTGGCGGAACAGCCACCAGGGGCAATTCGGGGTTCAGTATCTTGCCCAAGGACACTTCGACATGCAGCCTGGGGGAACCGCGACCTTCCGATTAATGGCTAACCCGCTCTATCTTCTGAGCCACAGCCACCCCATTTGTATCATGTAAGTCATGTTTCTGTTCACCAAACAAAAGAAATTCCATCATTCACTATCCTTCACTAGCTCTGTTTTGGTCTCCACCAACTCATCTTCAGCTTCTAAATGCTTAACAAAGTTCAACAGCTACTATCTTTTTCAGACATTTGGTGCTGGGAAGGTAGCGTACAGTCAGTGTATGGGGCTGCCGCTGGAATAACAGTTGATCACCATGGTTAGACTGAACCAAAATGAATTAATAATAATAATAATGAATTCACATTACATTGTATTGATCCATTGTTAATATACAAATATTGATTAGTATAGCTTTAAGATGTAGTAGTATTAATTTCTGCTAAATGCTGGTTCCACATATTTGCTGGCTCCAACTGTCTCAACAGACTATTAAAAAAAGTATAACGCATTGCAGTCTCAATAACCTTGGTGGTGATGATGAGAATATCTTTTTCCTTAATGGAGTTTAAGGCTTTAAGATAAGTATATTTATTGACTGAAGTGTCACAGCCTATCACACTCAGATATCTTGAAATTAAATTTGAACAAGTCATCCGTTGTGAAGTTATCCATGTATGAAAACAGACACATGCACATGCACACAAAAACACATAATCAGGAATTCTGCTCTGTTTGATTCAGTTGGATTAGATCTTTTGTAGCTGACATGACATTAAACCCTCAAAACCACATTAAACTGGTATGTTTACCATATGCAGTGTTTGATTTCCCCCCCTAGAACATGAAAAGGGAGTCTGTTGCTGCTCTTTCTCTTCAATTTGTGATGGATGTTGCCTTAGATAAGACATAAATGTTCTTCTGTGTTGACCTCTGGCTGGCTCTCCAAACACAAGGGGAAATCACGCTGTGGAACCACAATGTTGGCCCTGGGCTAGCAGGAAGACTCTGTTCCCTGAAAGGAAACCTGTTTCTGTTCTTTGTCATCCTGCTTTAAATGTAGTAATGTCCTCTCCAATGGCTTTTCTCTTTAACATTTCTTGCATCATGTCATACAATTCACACATTGAGTTGCAACAAATGCCAGATAAGACCGTCGTTGCAGTTACTCAAAATATGTGTTTTTAATTAATTATTAATAATATAAATTAAATTGAGCTAAACACTAAAGTTACATGTTGTAGATTCATTGTATTTGCTACAATTGGCAATTTGTGAAGAAACCAGGACAGAGCATGATGTAGGTCACTGAAAAAAGTAAAGACTATCACATAAACGGTCCGATAAGAATCTCTGGCAAGATATTTTATCGCTGAGGTTTTTTGACATGTAGTCATCTTTTTTGAAAGCACACGCTGTTTGTACCAGCAGTATTTTCACATCTCTATAATTTTCAAAATACAGAAGTGTCCGGACTTGTATGTATGGCTTTCATATATTAGAGCTGCACTCATGTGGCTCATGTGGCTACGCACATGCTAACTGAGAACATTAGACTTCTATCTTTGTTTGAAAGCAAAAACAGGAGTCAGTAGCCATGTTGATCAACAGTTGTAATTTTTCAAACAAAAATGTTCATGCTTTGAAATTTAGAGGATTTGCATCTTTTGCTTCACAATTCATTGCTGTGCAAACAAATTTCTTCTACTCATTCTTCTGTGACACAGATTTCCTATTGCTATTACGAAGGCAAAGTTTATTATATTCCAGATTGCTTTTGAAGACCCTTAACCAGTTGCAAATACTACATATCCAATGCATCCAAACAAAAACACACAATGATGATGACATCACCTACCTGTTTGTGAGTGGGCCTATGAAGGGGTTGGTAATCAGCTGTACAGTGGCCTTGGAGGCAAACAGCAATCCCACTTTGACATTCTCATTGAGCAGCTTGCTGGTGGATCTGGGGCAGTCTGAGGAGTTCTGCGACAGCTCTGCAGCAGCGGGGCTTGTAGGGACCAGGTCATTAGACCTGGCTGTGGTATTGGAGCCCGCAGACCTCACGGTGTTGTCGTATAAAGACACAATGCTGTGGAAGGCTCCTGGAGGCTGCAACAAGGTGTTGTTCTTCACCACGTCTGCTGACTCATCCAGGTTATACAGATAGCTGGGAATGATGGGAACTGGCAGGCATAAAGAGGCGAGAGGAGATTGATGCAATGAAATATGACATGACCACTGACTGATGCTCACTGGCATGATGCTAATCCAGATGTCACTGCAACATATGTCAGCAGAGAACTAAAACGCTTCTTCAAGGGTTATTCACAAGCACCACCCCAAAGAAAGAACCCTTAAAGAAGCCAAGGTTTCTTTAACCATTTAAGGGTTGAAGAAATCTATAGCTCTCACTTAGCCTTAATGGAATCTATCCATGGAGATAGTTTCAGATCAGTCCCTGAAACTTCTGCCACAGCCCAATATAAGTCAAAGTGAACAGAATTAATTTGTGGTGCTCAACAGTGAAATCCAATGTGCTTTTCTAGAAACAATGTCCTGTCCTCCTCTAGACACTCAACCTTGGTAACAACAGTAATCTGAGGAACTGTTTCTGTAGAGTATCCAGAGTAACTGCGTCACTGTATCTGGAAAGAAATGTTGCTTCTGAATGTTTTGTCATTTTTTGAAGCTTTGACCTCCACAAAGATATTCCATTCCACTGTAATGGGGTGGGGGAGAAGTTTTGGGTAAATATGTTTTGAACAATGTAGATTAAATCTAGATTATTTCCATTTGATGGAATGGTGCAGCCATGTATTCATCTATCGCACGTGGTGTAAACAGCATACAGCTTTAATTAAGTATCACAACCAGTGGCGTCATCAGGGCTGACCAATCAGTGCTTCAGCCCAAATATATTAATATTTTTTGGTCAGAAAAAAGCTGTCACTCATTATTAGAAAGAAGCCAAACACTGGCATTCTAATTTAGCTGAGCAGAACTTTATTTAGAGTGTAGGAGGGCAAATCTGACTTTCATAAGGACACATTATGTTCAAATTTTCAAAAATCTATTAATGTACCCATTAATAATGATGTAAAACATTTTTAAATGGGAGTTTAACAGAATATTTAATAGATTTCTAAAAATATATTAAGGTTAATGGGTTAATGTTGATGGGTTATGGGGTTTAAAGGGGTAAACCCCCCTTAAAAAACAATTTACACAGTGCAGATAATTTATTGAAAACCCCTTAATATATTACAACCAATTTACTTTTGAATTAATTTGTGGCAAACCTATTTAATACTGAATAAGCATCCTTTCAAATATTATTAATTTGCACCTGAAAATATTTCAGAACCAAAAATGCCTACTTAATTTTTTTTAAAGTTAGGGGTCTCTAGCAACCTCACTAAAGGTGACTGATTTTCGTGTAATACTTATCACGTATCGAGATAATCATTACTGATACTTTACTTGAGAATGAGTTTTAGAAAAATAACTGAATGGCATTCAATAAGCACCAAGTTTTGCTGTAATATGTTATAATAGCCTATAAAGTATATTATAACTTTATCAACTAGACTGGTGTCAGGTGGACAAACTATTTACTTAAGAGAGTATATTTTCATATTGAGGTCGTGTTTAATCTTTGCCTAGCGTCAGATAGGCCAATTTATGAACTGAATCTGATCTAATAAATTACAAAGTACATCAGTGTTCTAGTTTGGTGATCTGCCACTTTCACTTTATTTTACATTTTACATGTATAATATGGACACAATCAACACTTGTTACTTTACTAAATGTGGCCCTAAATGTCAAAGCGGTTTTGAATTCGCTGCGGGGACTTGGGCACAGTGGAGGACCTACTCCACAGAGAGCACTAGGGAGCGGCATGAGCTGGTGCAACAGGCTGCGCTGTGATCGAAAGTGAACTTGGAATATCTACTGATTTGGACAGACTTGGTGAACTGCATTACCTGTTCTTAAAATAAAATAAAAACTTTGCACACACGTCAGAAGTCAGAAAAGAACGAGGGCACCTACCGACTACAGTTAACAGCATGTTGTCCAGCAGCAGAGCGACGAAAACAATGAAGAGAATCAGCTTCCTCGACTGTCTCTCCTCTCTCAGCCATTTGATCAAATTAAACTGCCGAAATGCATCTAATCTCCCCATGGTGTTAGTCCCGAAAAGAGCAAAACAATCTAAAAGAGACGGCTGACAAGTCCTCCTGGAGAGAGACAAGTGGCAATGATGATAGTACGAGAAGTCAGAAACAGCAAACTGGTCAGAATGTGAGAAGTGAGTGCTGCAGTGTAGAAATCTTACCTGAAGATGCACAAGAGCCAACAGCAGCAGCAGCAGCAGCAGCGGAGGCGGAGGCGGAGGAGAGCTGGGGGGGGGGGCTGTCTTTCTACTGACTGGGCCCACTGCTGACGTCATTCAACCTTTATGTCTAGGTAAGCCGACATACTACTGGATTAGAGTACAATAATGGAGCCCAAACATCAGACCTGCAATTGTAGCCTAAACTAACACAAACAAATCTGAAACTGGTCTTTAATGATGGCGTGAAGACCAACACTGACCTGATGCAACACATGAAGCCAAATAATCTCCTTTCATGAACAAAGCCAAACATAAATGTTTGCTCAGATGTATTAATTCATGATTTACCATCTGCTGAGGGTCTGAGGCAACTGGTCAAGGGTCTTCAGGCATTCTGGAATATTATTTCTAATAGCAATAGTGCACCTACCTTAACTTTATTGATCATTACTTATGAGTCTTCCACCTATGGTTTCTATAGCCTATGGCAGTCCTCCAGCAGAACAAAAGAACAATTAAATTCATACAGTTCATTAAATCAATAAAATTAAATAAAAAAACTGTAAACACCTGTGTGTGTGTGTGTGTGTGTGTGTGTGTACAGTTCATACAATAAATAAAATAAAATAAATAAAACAGTTAATGTGTATGTGAGTGTGCCAGAGGTCGGTAGTATATAGAATTAATTTTATGTTTAGAATCAATAATGAAAACAACGATATATATATATAAAAAACAAATAAACCCATTCTACAGCTCTGCTTTTACAGTAAATATTGAGGTAACAAGCACAATCCTGGGTTCAAAACCAGCATGACGGCCTTATTCATGGTGTGTTGAAGCGAGGGATCGACACTTGAGGTGAAAATTATAAATCAATTACTGATTCAAATGTTTTTGTTGAGTTCAGCTCAGAGATTCATTTCACCAGCTTTGCAGTTTATTCACTTTAATATAAGCTAAGCAACAGCATCACTTTTCAAACACACATCAATATGTACACCAGCACATCAGCCTTCATGACACTGATGTGGTGCAGCAGCTGACTGGCTTCAGTTCAGTACTAAGTTCAGTTCTGGTTTAAACTGTTATGGTCCAGTTAAAACTAGACCAGTATATCAGTTACCAGATTTATCGCATCATGATTGTTTCCATGTTTTTTTATGATGGAAAAGCATGTGGAAAACGTGTATGACAATTCTGTTGGTTTGTTTCATGTAATAATTTCAGGAAAGTTACAGTTTCCTCATTGCTCCGCACAGATGTGATGGTTTTGTCTCTTCAGTGCAGCGTAAGCCTCAGTGGAAAGTCACATGCTTCATATGTGTCTTGATAATTTATTCACTAAGTCTGTTTCAACTGCAGTGTTGCATTTTGTTTTTTATCGATACTCCCACATCATTTTCCACCTCAGCTCAGTGTAAATTTCTAGCCTTTGCTTCAACAAGTCCCTTTCCACACAGGTTTTTTATTTGCAAATTGAAAATGCTCAGAAAAAGAGCATCATGATTTCAGTGTAGTAAATTACATTTGTATCTAATTATCTGTACTGGATCTGATTGTTTTCTTTATAGATTTATGTTTTATATTCTAGCCTTCATGTTGATGTGTCCTTGGAAAGGTTACTGAACACCAAATGGTCGGAAGACTACAAACGGAACTATATAAGTATTTGTATATTGGCTATTTACCATGCAGTCCATTTAATAACATTGTTGTATGTTTTGATTTCTCCTGGCAATCTTCCCAAATGCTTTGGAACCTTCCTCTGCCAATAAATCAGAAATCATTTGAGGCTGTGAGAGAGAAATAGAAACCTTTAGAATACATATTCAACAAACAGTGAAAAGCTGGCCATTGTTAGAACTGCTACATGTTGAACTACAGTCTGGTAGTAACCGTGAGACTTGCGGTCTCTTCGTCAAGGTTTTACAGCAGCACCATCTTGTGCTCTGGTAATACAACAGCAACATGGCTCTCACTGACTTTGTGCAGAATTACTCAGTGGTCTTGCACATTATCACATCATGTTATGTAGAAACTGATGAACAGCTATACAACAGAACTTGTTATATAATATTTAATAAAACATGGTAATGTAATCAGTTAATTTACATTAACAATAATTTCTTCCAAAGAAGTGTGGACTGCTTATAATTGATAACACAATAATAGTGACTATTGGCATCATTTGATTGATACTGAGGTAGAGAATAAGAGAGAATAAGTCTATTTACTCAAGTACTGTACTAGGTACAATGGAATGGTACTGGCGCTATTTAAGAAAACTAAAATATTATGTTTATATACTGTATATTTAACTTATGGCTGTTAGTGGTAACTTTAGATTTAGGCTATAATGATGAAAGGCAGCCAGTTACTTTAGCATGGATCGGATGGACGGAGCAACGTTTGCTTTGTAACGTTCATTTTAGATTTATGGTTGTTTTACTGATACACAGGTACACATCTTCTTCACTGGTCTCAGTTGCCGTAACTTATGAGACCCACATAACAGACAATAAAGCAACATAACTGCATATGAGACCACAGTGGAAAACCCTTTCAGTAAGTTACAGTAATGTTACTTACTAGAGTCAAGTGTCACAACAAAGAACGTCTCGGGTTACGTATGTAACCCTTGTTCCCCGAGAAGGGGAACGAGACACTGCGTCGGCCCATTCCTCAGAGGGGCGTGGAACGCCGCCATGGCAGCCACATACACCTTGAGTGTGGATGGGGAAAGGCCAGCAGAGAAACGGTCCTGGAGGAACTCCAGTTCCATAGTCATCGGGCAGGAAACTGGGTCCACCGCCCGTTCTCTACACCAGGTGGCAAACACATTCCACTTCAGGCTGTATGTCTCTCTCATGGACGGGGCTCTGGAGCTGAGCAGCGTCTCAACTGTTCCCGCCATCAGGCCCGCCTCCAGGAACTGGGCCCCCTCAGGGGCCAGACCCACAGTCTCCACAGAGTGGGGCAAGGGTGAAAGACCTGGCCCTCCGCCTGAGACAGCGGTCCCTCCTCAGGGGGACCTGCCATGGCGGGCCCTCGAGGAGCGATATTATGTCCGAGAACCACACTCGGGCCGGCCAAAATGGGGCTACCAGCAGTAGACTGACACCATCCTGACGGACCCGCTCCAGAACCCCCGGCAGAGCGACTGGGGGAAAGGCATACAGGCGCAGCCTCGGCCACGTCTGCACCAGCCCAGAACCACAGGGAACAGTGCGTAGTCTCTCGAGACGCAAACAAGTCCATGTCTATGGGGCCAAACCTTTTGCATAATAACTCCACCACCTGGGGGTGGAGTCTCCATTCCCCGGGCCTCAGCCCCTGTCTCAACATCAGGTATGCTCCCTGATTCTGGGTCCCAGGGACGTATGTCGCTCTGAGGGACAGCCGTCTCTGCCGGGACCACAGGAGGATCTTATGTGCCAGTTTGCATAACGGGCGCGAGCGCAGACCCCCCTGGTGATTCAAATAGGCCACCACCGCCGTGTTGTCGGTCCTGACAAGGACGTGGCAACCGTGGAGTGCGGGCAGAAAACTCCAAAGCTTCAAAGCTCTGAAAACCGCCAACATTTCCAGGCAATTTATGTGCCAAGAGAAATGATGCTCCTGCCAGGAGCCTCTCGCAAAGTGGCCATCCATGACCGCGCCCCACCCCGCGAGTGAGGCGTCTGTCAAAATAATTGTCCGGCAACATGACGCTCCCAACACGGGACCCTGGGACAGGAACCAAGGCTTCCTCCATACTGAAAGGGAACAAAGGCACCTGCTCGTAACCCGTATGAGACGGAACGGATTTCCCCTCGGAGAGAATCCCTTGGATTTTAACCACCACTGCAGGGCTCTCATGTGCAGCAGGCCAGAAGGGATTACGCTGGACGCTGCCGCCATGAGACCCAACACCCTCTGAAAGTGTTTCATAGTGATGGTGCGGCCTAGCTTCACTCTGGTCACAGAGGACAAAATGGACCCGACGCGTGCAGGCGACAGGTGGGTCCGCATCGTCGTCGAGTCCCACACCACCCCTAGGAACGTAGTCCGTTGGGCGGGTGTCAGCACACTCTTCTTCGCGTTGAGCCGCAGCCACAAACGCTGAAGGTGGGCATGGACAACATCTGGATGCCGAACTGCTAATGTCGGGTCGGAAATAAGGACCGGCCGGGCCAGTAAAAGACCTGGTCCCTACCCTAACCAACGTAATAAACTCAATAAAATTACTCTATTAGATTTCTTCTTTAGTCAAAAGACGGCGTAGTCAAAAACTTCACTGGAGACGGTCAAGAGTCGGTGCAAAAGAGTTTATTCCAATAAAGGACAGATAAACCCGAGCAACATCCCTGCAGGTCTCAGGATGGAACCGAGTTGGTGGTCAGCGAACATCGCCTTATATTCACCTTAAGCTCCACCTTGTCCCTCCCTTCAGGTGGGCGTTACATCTTAACTCCTCCTTAACTACTCCTTCTAGGTGGGCGTTACTCCTTAACTCCACCTATGGTGTTCGCTGACCATTCCTCCCCTTTGGTGGACTTCTTATCCTCTACTGCCATCTAGTGGCCTTTTTCTTGTACTGTTTTACCAAATTAACCCTTTTATTGATGTTACAATTTCCACTTTTTAGCTGTTATTATATGTAATTATTGTTACCATTTATCTCTCTTTATATTTTTTACATTACTGGATTAGAAAATCCACCAATATGTTTCAACTTCAGTCCCACCGTATTTTTTAAAAGTTATACAGGCATAGTTTGACACCATTAAAACTTAAACACTTACAATCGTATTTTTTAAAAGAATTAATAAGGAATAACATATTTCATACATGTATAACGTGATTCAATGAACAATTACATGATTTAGCAATGCCAACCATGAGGGTGCTTTGTCTCATACAAGTTAACTTTCAGCAGCGCAGAGCTTGGTTGCATGCAGTACCTAGCCGTACCAGGCGCCATAAATCACAACATGTCATGATCTCATTCTTGGCTTCAGTTCGCGATGATCTCAGCCCTGGCGTACGTGACTTTCTGCATG